AACCCCAAAATGAAAACTCTTAGGAACATTTTAGTTAAAATCCAGAGTGACCAGAGCAATGAAAAAAATACTGTAAGAAGCCAGAAAGAAAGAATTCAAGTACTCAGGAGACACTGTCAGGATCACACACAAATTAGCACCTACCACCACAAAGGATTAAAAAGTTCAGAATACAATATTTCAGAAGGCAAAGGATATAACCTTAAACCTAAGAATAAGTTCCCCAGAAAAAATGAGTATAACTCTACAGGGTGAAAAATGTACCTTTAATTAAATAAAGTACTTCTAAGCATTCCTAATAAAAAGACTAGGGATATGTAGAAACTTCAAAGCTCAACCATAGGAGTTAAGAGAAAAATAAAAAGGTAAACATGAAATGAACAACAATAAAGGACTAAACAAAAATAAACTTACATCTGAAAATAGGTTAATACTTGTGTCCTCTCTGAACCCTAACATTATGACAGGTCACATAGGAAATCAATTAGAGAAAACCTGAGAGTAGTTCTGTTATGTCTTAATAACCTTAAGAAAAGAATGGAAAGAGAAAGAAAGAGAAACACGCTGGTGGGGGTGGGGATGATGGCAGGAGGAAGGGGAAAAAAGGTTAAAGAAAATTATCTCAAATTATCAGGGTATACAAGGCAGACATCTATTCAAAAAAAGAGGAGAGAGAGGGGAAACTGTTAACATTTGAACTTCACTTTCATCTGACCTGGTCAAAAGAAAAAGAATACACACACACACACACACACACACACACACACACACGATTGGGGGAGTGATAAGATAGATACTGGCTGATTAAAACAAATTAAACTGGTGCAGTAGATAGAACACTGGGGCTGGAGTCTGGAAGACTTGAGTTTATATAAATCCAGCCTCAGACACTTAACTAGCTGCATGACTCTAGACAAATCACTTAACCTCTGTAGACATCAGTTTCCTTAACTGTTGAAGATAACATTACCTGCTTTTCAAGGTTATAGTGAGGATTAAACGAAATAATATTTGCAAATCACTTAGCACGGTGCTTGGCACACAGTAGAGGCTATATAAATGTTTATTCCCTTCCTTTTCCCTCCCTTGTAATAGCATCAGTAAAGTTGAAGCCTACAAAATAAACCCTAAAAATTAATTGCATTCTTATATAATAATAAAAACATCTAAAAAGCAATAATAGAAAGGGAAATCCCATTCCAAATTACTTAAAATGTGTCACGTATCTAGGGAATTAATATACCAAAGCACACAAAAGACTTGCATAGTATTCCTTAATGAAATAAGGTACAACTTATATAGCAGCAGGAATATCCAGTGCTCATGGCTGGGCCATGACAATATAATAAAAATGAAAATACTAACAAAATTAACTTAACACTTTCAATGCTGTGCCAACTAAATTATCAAAGGGATACTTTATAGAACTTGATAAAATAATAACAAAATTCATTTGGAAAGCAACAGATCTAGAATATCAAGAGAAATGATGAAAAGAAGTAAAAGCGAAAAGGAATAGCATTTCCAAACTTCAAATTATATTACAAAGCAGGAGTCATCAAAACCATCTGGTATTAGTATTTAAAAAAAGAGAGAGAAAGAGAGGAGCATATCAATGGAAAAGACTTAATAAGGTGAAAATCTGAAACAAGAGGATTCAATAATGCAGTGTTTGATAAACTGGAAAACATAAACCACTTAAGAAAAAAACTCCCTACTTGATAAAAACTGCTAGGAAAACTAAAAAGCAGTCTGGCAGAAATTAGGCTTAGACTTGAACCACAGTCCACAACACATTGTAAATGAATACATACCCTTAATATTAAAGATCATACCATAAAAAGAGTCATATGCCTCTCACAGCTATATGTAGATGTATTTTTAACTAAAAATGGGATAGCAGCAATTAAAAAAGATGAAATAGATAAGTGATTACATGAAATTGAAAAGCTTCTGTACAAACAAAATTAATGCAGGATAAGGAGAAGTGGCTAAATGTAGAAAAATAATATCAAATTTCTCTGACAAGGGTATTTATATCTAAGATATAAACAATTAATGTATATTTATCTATCTATGTAGATGTAACCAAAAGCCATCCCCCAACATATCAGTAGTCAAAGGATATGAACAAACAGTTCTCAAAAAAATTACAAACTATTAACAATCACACTGAAGAATGCTCCAAATTACTAAACATAAGAGGAATACAAATCAAAACAACGCTGAGGTTTTACCTCACACCCTGAAAACTGGCAAAGATGACAAGAGATGGAAATAGTCAATGTTGGTAGGGCTGTGAAAAAAAGGGACAGTGGTGTAGTGGTGTTGGTAGGGCTCTGAATCTGTATAACCATTTTAAAAAGAAAACTGGAATTATGCAAAAATGACTATATCCTTTGACCTAGAGATTTCATTACTGGGCTTATGCTCCAAGGAGGCCACTGATAAGAAGAAAGTGCCCATTTACATACTTCAAAAAAGTTTTGTCAGCACTTTTTTGTAACAGCAATGAATTGGAAACAGAGTATTTGATCACTGATTGGGGAATGAATAAACAAACCAGGTACATGAATGTAACGGAGTTATCACTTGGATATAAAAAATGATGAATGTAATGAATACAGAGAACCATGGAAAGATTAATATGAATTGATACAGAATGAAGCAAGTAGGGACAAGGAAATAATATACACAATGACTACAACAATGTAAACAGGAAGAATAACCATACACTGCAAAAAAATCAAAAGTAAATGTTGCAAAATTATAAAGAACAAAGCATAGCTTTAAAGAGGAAATATGAGAAGACACCAGCACCCTACCCCTTTAAAGAGGTAGGAGGTCCACAAGCATTGCACAGTGCACATATTTTCAGAAATTTTTTGATGATCAATTATGCTGATTTTTCCTGTTTCTCTTTTTGTCTTACACTATTATTAGACAGAATGGCTCTTGGGGTGGGAGGTGACACTGGGAAAAATTATGATATAAAAAACAAAAGGCATCAATAAAAACTCATTAAAAATAATTAATTACTTCACTATTAGCCATTCAGTGGACAGAACTCTAGCCCTGTGCTTGCACAAGTTCTATAAAGAAAATCATTTTGTCTCTATCTCTAGATATATGACGTTACATATGTACATTTCCATAGTTTATACATATGAGACTCAAATGAAAAAAAAATTCTGAATGTTATTGCTAATATTTATGCACACCTACAAACATAACATGTTCCTTTCTTCCTGGGACAATAGAAGCGTGCCACATATCATAAATATAGTACTTGTATTTCTGGAATTCTTTCGAAATTGCTATTGTTACAAAAGTAGTTAAACATTTTACTTATAAGATAATTATATCAAGCTTTCGTAGTATAGGTTGTTAGACTTCAGTAAACATGTCCTGGCCTGCAATATATCCAAATTAATGTTAAAACAGCCATTTTATGGTATAATTCTAGAGATGCAGATAGAGAAACCTGAAAATCTATACTAAAAACGTTAAAGTTGGTAGTCCAAATCAACAAACATTTATTCAGTCCCTACTCTGTGCTGAGAACTGTTAGACTGGGAAAAGATCTAAAGTTTACATAAGATATAAACCCTACCAGAAAGACCTCATGGATTATCAAGGAGATAAAACCTAAACACAGGTAAATAAAATACACAATATTACATGATAAATGTCTTGAAGAGGAACAAAACTATTAAGTCTAGAGCAAGGAAATGACAATGATGCTGTGTGATCTGTGTTGGTCTGATTACATCTGAAATCGTGTCAACGTGCAGCTTAATTAATTCAAAACAATACATAGTGTATTAGAGAATTGTAAAACAAAGTACTATGTGAGATACAAAGGAAGTTTATTTTTTTATTTCTGTACTAGGAAGGTGGAAAGTTTAGCTCCCATTTGAAGTAACCATATGTGTAAATTGTTATAAAGAAATTTGTGAATATTCTCATCCTTTTGCTACTCTAGAAGATTTGTGCATTATAAACAACACAGAATTTGAAGGAGGTCCTTGAGGAACTGAAAGGTCAAGCATGATGGAGCACACTTGTCTTCCCTGTTACTGGGGAGGCTAAGGCTGGTGGGTAGCTTGGGATCAGTTCTGATCTGCAGTATGGACAAAGTTGATCAAATACCCATACTCAGTCTGATATCAAAATGATGAGCCCTAGGGAGCAGAGAATCACCAGACAAAATGTTCAAGTTATAAACAAAACAGGTCAAAGTTTCTGTGAAGATAAGTATTGGGATAAAGCTTGTGAGTGGTTTTTATGTTTTGAGCTTTGGTGAAATAAGGAGACCCAGAATAGATGGATGGAAGGAAGGAAGGAAAGAAGGAAGGGAAGGAAGGAAGGAAGGAGGGAGGAAGGAAGGATGGAGGAAGGAAGAATGTACAAGTAGACATCTAAACAAAGAGAGGAGACTGAAGAAGAGTGATTTTCACCCAAAACGCTCACAAGAGGGAAGAATACACACACACACACACACACACACACACACACACACACACACACACATAGAGGTGGACAGAGAAATACATTTCACTCAACAAGGAAATGGGAAAAATGGAGAAGAGAAAATTAGAAGGGAGGGATTAATTTTTAGCAAAACAAACTCACTAAGGATGTACAAACATATTTATAGGAAGGGGGGAGGGAAGAAGAAAGGAAGGAAGCAAAGAAGGATGAAGGAAAGGAAGGAAGGAAGGAAAAAAGGAAAGGAAAAAAGGAAAGAAAGAAGGAAAGAAGTGCTTCTGGGGTTGGAGAAGGGGGCAGTACAGGAGAGAGGTCCTGCAGAGGGAAAATATGGTCAAAGTGTTTGTCAAGGAATATTAACTCTGCAACAAAATTCTGTAGACAAACTTATGGGAAGAAAGTGAAAGAGAGGCCAGTGAGTAGATCACACTAGTTCCAATAGGAGATAATCAATATCTTATGCAAAGAGTTGGGACTGTGGAGATTGAGCATAACTTTAACCTACTCACCTCTTTTCCAAGTGTCAAAGACTCAGGGATTTGCTGTTGATTCTTGTTAGAAGTCTTCCCTGCCTCTTTCTTGGCTGTACCGAAATGCATCTTGAGCTGAGTTACCTGTTCTTGTAGCCCTGAAATTTCTAAATGGACTTGATCTAAGTGACTGGAAAGCTGGCCCTGGAACTCATCAATGTCCAATGGTTTCTGTTGCACCTAGGATTCCAAATCAGAAAGACACTATTAAAGGAGCTCTCCCAACTTCAGAAAAGATCAGGAAAATATGAGATAACATAAATCAAGGACATGATCTAAGAAGGAATAACCATAGATTTAACTGGAAGAGAGCTTAAAAGTTCTTATCCAATCCCTTCATTTAACAGGTAAAGAAATTGAAGCCTAGAGAAGTTAAGGGATCTACTCAGGGTCACACAGTTAGTAAGTGGCAGCTGAGATTTGAACCCAGGCCTTCTAACTTCAAGTCCAGTACTCTCTGTACTGCAGCATAAGAGATAAAATGAGTGGCAAAGAACTGTAACAGAAAAAGCATGTGGTAGAGAAGCAGGGGTAGAGCATGTGGGGAAGGGATCAAGGTAGCACTTGCAAAAAGCACCCATTGGAAATGAATAGAGAATTATTATTTATCTCTTTTAGACATTTTTAGCTTTTTATTCCATATAATCTGATAAAAAAGCCATTAGTAATAGACTTGCCCCATATAATAAGTTACCATATGACATCTGTAAGAATCAACAACTTACCTGGCTTCTTTAGACACATACATATTCTATAAATGACCTTTCAATTCAGTTTAACATGCGGACTGAAGACCTCATTTATATTTTGCGCATCTTGATAACTGTATATGAATGCTTCACTTAAGAAGCATGAACTAGTAGGAATGTGCCTGGGACTACACTGACCACTACTACTACTACTATCGCCACCGCCACTAGCTAGCACGCCGGCATTTACGAGGCTTCTACTGCATGCCCAGCACTGTGCTAGTGCTTTACAATCGTAAGCTCGTGTGATCCTCACAACAGCTCTGAGAGGCAGATGCTATCATTATTCCCATTTTTACAGTGGAGGAAACTAAGGCATAGAAGTTCAATGACTTGTCCAGAGTGGTACAACTGTATGTCTCATTCTGCTTTCTGAGTCTTTTATTTTTCTATCAGGAAATGTGAAGCATGCTTCATCATTAATCCTCTGGAATCATGGTTGGTGTCATTACTGTGATCAGAGTTCCTAATTCTTCCAAAACTGTCTTTAATATATTGTTACTGTTATAAGTTGTTCTCATGTTCACTTCACTCTGTATCAGTTCATACAAGTTTTCCTAAGTTTCTCTGAAAACAGCCCCTTTATCATGTCTTATAGCACAGTAGTATTCCATCACATTTATATATAATAACTTGTTTAGCTATTTATTCCCCAATTGATCCCCTCAGATTATCACTCTTTGCCACCTCAAAAAGAGCTACAAAACAAGGCATTGAACCTGGAGCTGAAAGAAGACAAACTAGGCAAGCTGAGAAAAGGCACCTTCAAAGATTGAGACAACTTTAGTACAAAGAGAAGAGGAGCCTCAGGACTCCTCCTGGGGCCTGACCTTTGGGGCCCAGAAGAAAGCTACATCAAACTTAGGGAAACTACATGAGAAAAAAAAGGAAGGGAGAAAAATATTTTCATCCAATGAAGAACTGAGTTACCTTATTGTACACATTATTTTTAACCCTGAGCCCACAGTCCCTTATATTTGTATTTATGGAACAGTATACCCTCAACTTTTACAGACAATATTTTACACAAACTCCTTACATCTCTGTACATTTTCCCTTAAAAATAAATCTGGTGGGACTTCCAGGAGCCAAGATGGAGGAGTAAGGAGGAAATCACTGTAACTCTCCCATAATCACCTCCAAACAACCATAAAATAGTACCTCAAAACAAATCCTAGAATAGCAGAACCAGCAAAAAGACGAGGTGAAACAATCTTTAATCACAAGAAACTTGGAAGATTGACAGGAAAGATCTGTCTCACTTGGGTAAAAGAAGAGTGCAGTCCAGGACAGAAAGCATTCCAATAAGCCAGCATCAAACCCTCCCCCCTCCCCAAGCAAACCAGCGGTAGATCCTGAGCCCCAGTGTGGTGGAGCAGGCAAACACCAATGCCAGGATCCCCCATGTGTCTCAGCATAGCCAGGGGACTGGGCAAACTCTAGCTCTGAGAACCACTAATGTGCTTCAGCTGAGCCCCTGGCAAACAGGCAACCTCCAGTGGCAAGACTAACACGTGCTTCAGTGTATTCCTGGGGAAATGCAGAAACATACCCCAGTACATGCCAGACACCAGCAACAGGATCTCAGCTCATTACCAGGTAAGCTCCCAGACCCCTATGGCCTTTAGCAGGCCCAGCCACCTCCCATCCTACCCCCTCAGTGCAGCACCAGGTAAACAGCCAGGGCCTGTACCCCTGGCACAAGAAGCCTGAGACAATGCCTCTTCCACCCTAAGAGCAAAGCTCAAATTTTTTAAAAAAGGAAAAAGGCCAAAAAAGACGAGCAAACAACAACAACAACAAAAGAATCTGACCACAGAAAGTTATTATGGTGACAAAGATCAAGACACAAACTCAGAAAAAGAAAAGAATGTCAAAACGCTTATGGGCAAAACCACAAAGAAAAACAGGAAGTGGTCTCAAGCCCAGAAAGAATTCATGGAAGAACTCAAAAAGGACCTTAAAAATCATATAAGAGAGGTAGAAGAAAAAGTGGGAAAAGAAATGAGAGCGATGCAAGAGAATTATGAAAAAAGAGTCAACAGCTTAAAAACAACAACAACAACAACAACAACAATAACAACGGCTTAAAAAGTAGAATTGGCCAAATAGAAAAAGAGATACAAAAATCCACTAAAAAATAACTCCTTAAAAAGTACAACTGGTCACATAGAAAAGAAAGAACAAAAGCAAATTGAGGAAAACAACTCCTTAGAAGTTAAAATTGGGCAAGTGGAAGCTAATGACTATGAGACATCAAGAATTAATCAAAGAAATTGAAAAGAATGAAGAAACAGAAGAAAATGTAAAATACCTCATGGGAAAAACAACTGACCTGGAAAATAGATTGAGGAGAGACAATATCAGAATCACTGGACTACCTGAAAGCCATAATCAAAAGGAGGACCTGGACAGCACCTTTCAGGAAATTATCAAAGAAAATAATTATAATTCTTCTTAAGAATAGGCACTGAAAGAATCCACCAATCACCTCAGGAAAGAGATCCCAAAACAAAAACTCCAAAGAACATTATAGCCAAATTTCAGAACAATCAGGTCAAGGAAAAAAATACTACAAGTAGCCAGAAAGAAACAATTCAAATATCAGGGAGCCACAATCAGGATTACAAAGGACTTAGCAACTGTAACATTAAAAGATTAAAAGAAGAGTACATTGGGTGCAGAAGGAAGGGAGAGGTAGAATGGGGTAAGTTATTTCATTGATAGGGAGATAGGCTCAAATAAGGAAAATAATTTGATGATTACCAATATAGAAAGCAGTGCCAAGAAAAGAACTCAGCGCTCTTCACTCGAAACTAACTTTACTCACTAGCTAATTAAAATTAGTTCCTACTAATATTTCTTTTCCAGATGCAAAGAATTTTCTGAAAAATTATCATGTAGGGATAACATTTACTTTGCTTGGTTAAAGCCCTAGGCTGCCTCTGGCCTTCAGGAAGAAAAAAAAAACCTTCCTAATATCTAAGCAACTGGTTGGTGAATTAGAGGAATGAAAAGAGGAGTACTTTGTTCATGTCAGTAGGGAAGGGCAAAATGTGGCTGTTTTACATTGATGTTAGCTTCTTTCCTGTCTGGAATTGAAAAAGTAGAATTTTAAAGAAAGAAACATTTCCAAGAAAGAAAAAAAACCCCAAAAAACAAAAACAACTTTATGTCCAAGCCAAGAAAAAACTTTCCAACTCTGTTCAGACACTCAACAATTTTGAGCTTCAACAGGGTGAGGCCTTACCTTTTGTTTGAGCTGTGTTACCATGGAATCCAAGAGAACTGCTTTGGTTTGTAGCTTCTTCAAAGCCATCCCAATGGAAACTTTATCAGCCTGCAAGGAACCTGATAGAAAGAAGATTAAGTGATGCAATAAGAGCACAGAATACTACAAGTCTTAGTAAGAATCTTGGGTTTTAGGGACATGGTTCCATTGTACTTTTTGGTTTCATATGTAAAATATAGAACAATAGACATGAAAGAGACTGAGAGATAGTAAGATTTAGTTCTCTTCCTTAAGAAAAGTGAACATCTAAATCATCCATGTCAGCTAGCTGTCCACTCTTTTCTTGAAAGTATTTTAGGGGCAGTTACTTTATAATCTCCCTTAGTAACTTATTCCATTGTTTAATCTCCCTGAAAGTTAAATTCATTATAAGGATTTAGATCCATAGAATGTTAGAGACACACTACATAACAGGGAATAATCTTTGTTCAAAGATAGTAGGAATCTTTTCAGATACCACTGAATATGTGGTAAGTGTGTTCCAGGGCATTAATAACTCTCAAAATGTAGATTAAGCTAGAAGACCCTATTAATGTTTTCATTCAAAATGTGAATATGGTACTAAATATTAGAATCTCAAATCCAAGATGGATAATGAAGATCTAAAATGAGATGTAGAGAGGTTTCAGCGAGAATATAAAACATCTGATAGTTCTTCTATTGCTCTAAATTTCTGCTTTAAATTTCATATAAAGATTCATGGGATTGAATGTAACCTATACATATGTCCACAAACATAAAAATAAATGCTATCTACAAACAAAAGCAACTTTAAAAGCTTCAAGAAAGCTTGTTTTTAAAATTAATGTTTTACCTGTATGAATATCCTTTTTCTATTTCTATTTTCTCATACTCTGCTTATCATGCCTACACAAGATTCCCTGACCCTAGGCTATATTTTCTTCCTCCATCATTCAAAGCCCAGTTTTAAGTTCACTTTCTCTGAGACAAAAGTTGGATTGCCTTTGGTCCAAACATTCTTCCTATCTAAATATGTACAAAATATTTGATATTCTGAATATTTAATTATTTTAACTGCTGTTTGTCCATTAATTTATTCATTTAAATATTTAAGTACCTACTTTGTACAAGCTTTCATTGATGGGCCTTGAACTGCATTGTTGGAAGAAATGCCCTCATCAATGAGATCACAGATCTGTTTGAATATAGAGAAAGTACTTTGCTAGGAGCTGTATCTCTATCTATGATGATATATTTCCCTTGAATCAATCAATCAACAAGCTTTATTAAGTGCCTACTATGTGCCAGGCACTCTGTTAGGTGCTGAAGAGTAGGCCTTCATCATCTCATGCCTGGATTATTGCAATAGCCTGCTGGTGGGTCTGCCTGTCTCAAGTCTCTCCCCACTCCAATCTATCCTTCATTCATCCACTAAAATAATTTTCCTAAAATGCAAGTCTGACCATATCACCCTCCTACTCAGTAAACTCCAGTGGTTCCTGACTGTCTCCAGGAGCAAATACAAAATGTTTTATTTAGTGTTCAAAGCCCTGCATCATCTAGCTCCCTCTTATCTTTCTAGTATTCTTATACCTTACTCCCCAACACCTATTCTTTGATCCAATGACATTGGCCTCCTGGCTATTCTACAAAAAAAACATTCCATCTCTTGGCTCCAGGTATTCTCTTTGACTGCCCCCCATGCCTGGAACGTTCTTCCTCCACTCCAATGACTGACCCCCCTTCCTTCCAACTAAAATCCCACCTTTTACATGGAGCCTTTCCCAATCCCTCTTAATTTGAGTGCTTTCCCTCTGATAACTATTTCCTACTTATCCTGTTTATAGCTTGCTTTGTGTGTATTTATTTGCATATAGTCTCCCCCATCACATTGTAAACTCTATGAGGGCAGGGGCTTTTTTTTTGCTCCTTTTTGTATCCTCACTGCCTAGCACACTTAATAAATGTTTACTGATTGATTGATCTGGTGCTAGTCCATTTTACAGATGAGAAAACTGAGGCCTAGGCAGACTAAACTGATTTGCCCAAGGTCACAGGGGTGGTAAGCCATCAGAGGTAGGATTTGACTCTAAAGTCAATAGTCTTTCTATCTCCCTCATTCCTGAAAGTTATGCTAGTGAAATGCAAGCTCTGGTCAGTTCTACCAAGGCTTCAAATACAAGCCTGGTGGCAGAACATTATCTAAACATCAGTTTGGTAAAGACAGGATCACCTGGGGCAGCTAGGTGGTGCAGTGGATAGAGTACCGGCCCTGGAGTCAGGAGGACCTGAGTTCAAATCTGACCTCAAACTAGACACTTGACACTAGTTGTGTGAACCTGTGCAAGTCACTTAACCCCAATTGCCTAAAACAAACAAACAAAAAAAAAAAAAAAACAAAGACAGGATCACCACCAGGTGATGAATGTTTTTGGTTGCAGGAAGCCAACTACAAAAACAAAGTAAGGTCCTCTGTCTGTGGTAAGCTGTTAGCTTTGGCAATGAGGGTGGCACAGAGCAGTAAGGAGCACGGTTCTGAGCATCTATAAACTTGATGTAGTCGTTAGCACCTAAAGGTTAACCTGGAACCAACAATGAACGAATGGACAAACAGTCCAAGGACTCAACGATATTTATACTGACATTTTTGAAATAAATGAATGAAACAAGAAGACATGTATGACTGGAAAAGAAGTGAGATGGTCATGTGGTAAGAATGAGAGGGAAGAGATAGACAGACTCACACTAGTATTCCTAATTTACTATCCTAACCAAAGAAAGGTCTGTAGCACATTAGGTAGATCCTCTCTGCAGATTTATAGAAAGACATAGAAAACACACACACACACACACACACAAACACACGCACACACGCACGCATGCACAAACACGTAAGTGCATAAGCACACACACTACACAAGATAAGAAGGTCTGGAGTGTTTACTTCAGTGAAGAGAGTACTCCTACGAAGAAAATCATGGATCTAACAAAATATGATGGCATTCAATACTGTGAGTTTGGTGTAACTCAAACTTTAATTCTTTTTTTTTTTTCCAAAATGAATACAAATATTTATAGTGTACTCATTCCTCTTTATTATTTAGTTCCATCTATTTTTCTCACTACTCAAAACATATTCCCTGGAACTGAAACTTAGCCTAAAAGCCCTTGCCTCGGGATTATTTTCTTTCTTTCTTTTTTTTTTTTCTTTCTTTTTTTTTGTGAGGCACTTGGGGTTAAGTGACTTGCCCAGAGTCACACACACCAGTATTATATGTCTGAGGCCGAATTTGAACTCAGGTCCTCCTGAATCCAGGGCCGGTGCTCTATCCACTGCACCACCTAGCTGCCCCCAGGGATTATTTTCTGACAGAAAGTCATCATCTTCTGAAGCAACTGTGCAAAAGAATGTAAACCTCATCTCCATGACTCTGAAACTAACATGGTATAAATCTTTCTTTTTCTTATTTTTTTACCCTTACCAGAAATTAATGTGTCTGATGTAGCCTCTGGATCACAAGGTATTGCATTTGGGATCTTCTTTCCAGTGCTGGTAAAATAGGGGACTCGATCATTTAGAGCCTCCATTTCCCTCCTCATATGCGCAATTGCAGTACGCAAGTTTGTATTTTGTTCCTGCAGCTTCTGAATCTCACTGGATGGAAAATTTTTACTTCCATTTATTCTGTGATCTGTTAGGAGCACCTGTGGAACAAATAAGCAAGTTTTTGCAATGAACCCCTCCGTATCCTGAAAAATATGAAGAGATCCCTTTTTCTCCTAGTTAGTTCCTTAAAAAAAAAAAAGCCCATAATGTAGCTGAACTAAGGAAAAATAAATCATACAACTAAATGGGCTTACAGAATATAGGTTCATGATAAAAATGAGATCATATATGTAAAATCCTTTACAAACTCTAAAGTGCTACATAAGTGTAAGTTACAAAAATAAAAAATTTAACCACCAATTGGCTTGTACAAGTTAGGAGACGCCTAGTTGCCCCATCTGCATCTTTTTTATTTCAATTGTCTGAGATAGTTACTAAATACATAATCCAGATCTAAGGTAGATAGTATCTGGGTTACCATTGCTTCCAGCTGTGATGGGATGTTCAATTGAACCTAGAATCTTATTTTCAAATGTGAGCCCTAAGGTCAAGCCCTCTGGTCCCAGGTCATGTTGAACCACCACACTGTAACCATTCTTAGCTGCTATGGATACTGCTTTGATATCTGATCCTTTGGATAAACAGGGTAAGCCTTTATCTAGGCCCCAAACAGTCTTACCCTAGACCAAAGAGTATCATGAATTGATTTTAAAGTTACATCCTTCAGAACTATAAGAACACTGCACACAATAACAGCAACATGTATGATCAACTGTGAATGATTTAGCCATCTCAGCAATACAAAGATCTAAGACAACACTGAAAGACTTAGGAAAAATGCTATCCACCTCCAAAGAAAAACTGATGGAGTCTGAATGTAGATTGAAGCCTGCTGTTTATTTTATTTGTTTTTTCTTTCAGTCTGAGATTTCTTTCACAACATGGCTAATATGGAAATATGTTTTGCATGACTGCACATGTATAACCTATAACAAATTGCTTGCCTTCTCAAAGAGGGGGGTGAGAGGGAGGGTAAGAGAAAGTTTGGAACTCAAAATTTTTAAAAAGAATGTTTCTGCTTGTAAGACTCCTTTGAACTGTCACTTGTTTAAATCCATCTTTCAAGGCTCAGTTCCAATGACATTTCTATCATAAAGTTTTCTTTCATATTTTTCAATTGTATGCATCCCTGTCTTTTGGACCTCCACAGTTTCTGGGTGGAAGAGCTTCATCATTTAATGCCCAGATTATTGCAACAGCCTGCTGGTGGATACCCTGGCCACAAGTCCCTCCCCACTCCAGTTCATCCTTCAGATTCAGTTGTCAAATTAATCTTCTTAAAGTTCAGGTATGACCATCACACACACAATTCAATAGACCTCTAGTATTAAACACAAAATTTTCTGTTTGGCATTCAAAGCCTTTCATAACCTAGTTTCTTTCCCCCCATCCTCTCTTCCAGTCTTCTTACACCATACTCTGTTCCCTCGGTCCCCCTTTTCCTCCCGAATCTGTATACCAGATATGACACTGGTCTCTTTGTTGTTCTTTACACAAGATACTCAAACTTCCAACTCCAGGCATTTTCACTACCTGTCCCCACGTCAAGAATGTTCTCTTTCCTGGCTTCCCTGGCTCTCTTCAGGTCCCACCTAAAAATCTCATCTTCTAGAAAGTCTTTCCCAATCTCCTTTAATTCTATTGCCTTCCCTCTGTTAATTATCTCCAACTTATCCTGTATATATTTTGTTTTACATAGTTATTTTTATGTTGTCTCCCTCATCAGTCTGAGCTCCTTGAGAGGAAAGACCATCTTTTGCCTTTCTTTGTATCCCAGTGCTTAGCAGTGCCAGGCACACAGTAGGTCACTGTCGTTGTTTAGTTGTATCCAACTCTTTGGGGTTTTCTTGGCAAAGATATGAGAATAATTTGCCATTTCCTTCTCCAGTTCATTTTACAGATGAAGAAACAGAGGCAAACAGGGTTGAATGACTTGCCTGGGGTCACACAGCTAACTGTCTGAAGCCAGATTTGAACTCAAGTTCAAACTCAAGCCTGACTCCAGGCCCAGCACTTTATCCTCTGTGACACTTAGCTGCCCCAGGTGTTTAGTAAATGTTTACCGACTGACTTGGAAACTCAATTTCAAGGGATTCAAGGGATTCCGGAGAAAGCCAATGTTGATGAATTATAAGCAGCTATCAGGTTCTTAGCTTAATGTGTATACCTTTAGGAGACTGTCTGGAATATCCCTACAGTACCTACAGGGGAAAAGCCTATCTTCTAGCAGAGACTGATCTGTTCCTTCTTCCTCATGTTGCTGATCCAGAATGGATGTGGCCTAACTTTTCTGATCAGTTTTTTCAACTTTCTTTCACGTACCTTCTTTCCTTCAACCCAATACATATTAATTACAGTTCTACTATATACAAAGCACTATGAAAGATATTAAGGATACAAAAATGAAAAATAACAGTCTCAGTTCTCAATAAACTTATAGTTTGATAGAGGAGATAAGCCATATACAAAAATGAATTTTCTACAAGGTAGAATGTGGCAAATGTAAAGGCAACCTCTAAACTAAGTACTGTCAGAAATATGAGGAAGAAGAGCTTATAACTTATAAGATAAAAAGAGGAAAATATACTTCAACAGATCTGCAATTTCATCAGAGTGGATATTCCCACTACTGGCATTCTTGGTTGCCATTTATGAAAAATGTATAAAAGGGGTGGGAAATGATCGTAACTTATAGTTCATGAGAATTTTTCAAATAAAGTCTAAAGAAGTAGAGCTAACATTCTCAGAATTGTATGACATTTTCTCTGCTTTCCTGACGATACCTGAAGATACCATCAGTAGGTGCTACTTCGACTTTTGCAGTAAGTCACTGCTGATTCTCCTGCCCCTACTCCCTCTTTCAGTAACTGGTTCCTAGCCCTGATTTTTATCCTAGTCAAAGTGAATTGTCCACTGATTCCAAGAATCTCTATCAGCTTCCTCTTAATAGGTATGAGTATAGAATATTTCTTTAAGAAGTTTAGCAAAGAGAGGTGAGCTGCCAAACGGTAGCTCGAAGTGGTAGTTTGATCAAGGTAAGGAACTTATATCTATATGTGAAATGAACAAGAATTTATTTTCTTTCCTCATCTCTCCCTCTCCCCTTGAAAAAGAAAAAATGGTTATACAAAAATGCATAGACAAGAGCATTCTGGTTGATTTCTGCCCTGGGTATCTCTCTCCTCCAGTCCCATCAAACTGTCCCCATCCAGGTGTCAAATTGATTTTCCTAAACACATATTTGACCATGTCACCCTTCTCTCCCTATTCAATAGACTCTAGTAGCTCCCTGCCACCTCCAGGATAAAATCTTTTGTTTAGCTTTTAAAGTCCTTCATAACCTTAGCTCTTCCGACTTTTCCAGTTTTCTTACACTTTATTCCCCATCCACTGTGATCTAGTGACTGTTCCTTGCACAGGACACTTCAGTTCTCATGCCTGAAATGGTCTACCTCTTCATCCCCACTTTTGGCCTTCCCTGGCTTTCTTCACCCCTCAGCTAAAATCCCACCTTCTACCTTGCGTAATTCCCCTTAATGCCAGTACCTTCCCTCTGTTGTTTATCTCCAATTTACCTTGTATATAGTTTGTACACAGTTTGTTTGCATTCCATCTCTCTCATTAGACTGTGAGCTCCTTAAGAGCAGGGGCTGTTTTTTGCCATTCCTTGTATCCTAGCTCTCAGGGCCTAGCACATAGTAATAAATGCTTAAAAAATACTTGTTGACCTAACCTTTTTGTGACCTTGGGCAAGTCACTTATAACCTCCATGGGCGCTAGTCCCCTCGTCTGTAAAATGGTGTTGGGCTCAGAGGCCTGCACCTGGCCTCTAAGGCCTCTCGATAACTTTTCGGATCAAGCAGTGTCAGTAGATACCTTGTGTCTCTAGGATAAAATACAAATTCCTCTTTTTAATATTAAAAGTCCTTCACAATCTAGCTCCAACCTATCTCTCTAGATTGGATTTCCCATTGCACTCTCTCATGCCCATTACATTCCAGGTAAAGTCACTCACCTGCTTCTGGCCCCCAGGACACAACATTCCATCTCGTCCCTCAGCCTAGAATGTTCTCCTTCCTCCACCCTGCCTTTTGGTATCCCTAGGTCTCTTTAACATTCAGCTCAAATGCCACCTTTTATGAGAGGCTTTTCCTGATTTCCTCTGTTGTTCAATATTCTCTCCTCTTCCCTCCAAAATTACTTGGTATTTGCTTTGTACATATGTTGCGTCCACCTATCTGTGCACAGGTTATTTCTCCCAGTAGAATGTAAACTCCTTGTGGGCAGGGGCTGTTTGACTTTTATCTTTGTAACTTTAGTGTCTAACTGGTGGTAGTGGTAACTGGCATGTAGTAGGCATTTAATAAATGCCTTTTGAATGAATGTTGAATATTTTCCCCTGGTTAACTTGGTTTTCAAAATTATTAATGATATACTTGTCATCAATGAAAAAAAGCTAACTTATTTTACTTAATAAATGTATTTAATTTTAAAGTATAAAATATCATAAATTTTCTTTCTTCTTGCCAGTCACCAGTACCGAGAATTCTTTGCTTGTCCATTTATTCTCATTCATTTTTCTTTTTAGATGATGATAGTGTATACTGTGTTCTTTTAGTTTTGTTTTTTCTAAACATCATTTATGAAATACAAAAATTTTTTTAAACATTTCACAGAATTACAAAATCTCAGTTGGAAGCAAACTTAAGAGATTATCCAGTTCAATCCCAACATGAGAAATTACCATATACCCTTTGTAATAATAATACTAATAAAAATTTATAATGTGTTTATTATATATCAGGAATTTTTCATGTGGTTATGAATACTTTGTAGTTCTTCTTTTGTGTATTGTTTGTTAATACCACTTTGACTATCTATAGGAGAATACTACTAGTCTTATATGTATTTATGGTTTATATATCAAACCCTTATTTGAGAAATCTGAGATTTTTTTCCCCCCTTGGACCATTTTCCTTCTGATCCTCTATGCATTAATGTGGTCTGTGCAGAAGCTTTTCAATTTTGAGTAATCAGT